GCGGGGAGGGCGGGGTAAAAATCTCAATAAATAAAATAAATAAATCTGTGCATGCATGTGCACACGTATGCATATATTCATGGCTAATGGCTAGGGCTGCCACGTCAGCTCCCACCCCAGCAGTGTCCCTGCACGTCGCCTTGGATCATCTCCGTTATAAACAAACGTTTGCACAGTGCTTGCAGGTACAGTTGCCCATCCCTTGCTGGCAGGAGGCCATTCTGTGCAGAGCACAGAGAAACGTGTTACACGACCCAGAGCTCCCTGGAATGCATTGGTCCTCCCTTCCTTGCAGACCGCCAAAATTATGGGCCTGTTGCTGCCCTGTGCTCCTTAGAAGGGAGAGGGAGGTAAAAATGTGACAGAAGGTGGCAACCTGTCGTATTTTTCTTTGCAACAACCTTGCAGTGCTCATCCTGGGTGAGATGTCTGGTCTGATGTCCTATTTTCGCAGCGAACCCTCCAGATGCCGACAGATCAGGATTGAACATATTCAGAGAACAGTCTTAATTTGATGAAGGCTTGTTGTTCATGCCAGGACTCAGCCCTGTGACAAGGGGAATAAGTCCCTTTGCACATGGACAGAGGAACTTTACCTCCCTGCCGAGTGAAGGCACCCAGGGCCCGCACAAGGTCTTGAGGCTTCTGGAAACTTGACTCCTGGAGAACTTAAAAAGCAAAAGGGGGTGGCTTTTCAGAAAGCAGATTCTCTGCTGCACGCTCCATCGTGCTCAGCTTCTAAAGGAGCGGTGCCGTTTACTGAATCTGTCTGCCTCTCCGTGCAAGGCCTGTTCTCACGGGGAAGAGGCGCAGCTGTGTCTGTGCTGAAGGTTGCGAGGAAGGTCTTGCCCTTCCTTTGCACAGGCATCTTTTTAAAGTAACTCTTGGCTGGCTGCTTTTGGAAGGCAATCTGTTCACTTCTCTGAAAAGCTCAGCACAGGCAGAGGAGGCTTCCGAAGTAGACTGCTTTGACAGAGTTGAGCAAGTTTGCCATCTGAATAAGCATGCCTGGTAGCATGCAAGAGCCATGCGCTGAATTATTTTGTGCTTTCCCTCCTTGCTTGTGAAGCTCTTCCGTTTCCTACTCCTAACATTTCTTTCCTCTTTTTCTGTCTGCTTCTCCTCCTCCGCTTTGCTCCAGTTTGGTGTAGTGGTTAAGTGCGCGGACTCTAATCTGGGAGAACCGGGTTTGAGTCCCCACTCTGCCACTTGCACCTGCTGGATGACCTTGGGCAAGTCATAATTCTGGCACAGCTGTCCTTGAAAAAGATCAGTTTCTGTCAGAGCTCTCTCAGTCCCACCTACCTCACAGGGTGTCTGTTGTGGGGAGGGGAAGGGAAAGGAGTTTGTGAGCCGCTCTGAGAGGCCCTTGGGTAGTGAAGGGCCGGGTATAAATCCAATCTCCTCTTCTTCTTTTACCTCACAGGGTGTCTGTGGTGGGGAGGGGAAGGGAAAGGAGTTTGTGAGCCGCTCTGAGAGTCCCTTGGGGGAAGGGCCGGGTATAAATCCAATCTCTTCTCTCATCCCTTCAGCACAAAAAAGCTAGCACAGCCGAGTGGCGAGGCCTGAGCTGCCACCTAGGAAGTCCCAGGTTCAAGTTTCTCCTATATCCGAAAATCGCTGGCTAGTATTTCTATGGCATGTCATTCAGAGCCTGTCAAATAGTCCTTGCGCCAACCACCCACTTTACAAGCAGAGGGGGGAGAGCTGAGAGAGTGGGACTTGCCTTAGGTGGTTTCCAGTGCCCCCACCCCGGCCGCATTGGTCCCTGGTCCAGAGTGTCCACCCTCTCTCTGTCCGTCAAGCCATTTCTGTTCTCTTGAAAGCCTTTCACTGAACCACTGTGCCCTTGCTGTTGTGTGGACTTTCCCTTGCTGTCCTTCTCAGAAACCTCATTGCATGTGTGTCAGTCTGTCACGTACCCCCATCCCTGTCGAACACCCTCCTATAATCCACAAAGGCTACAAACAGAGCCCCATGTGGTCTAGCTGTATATTTCTCCACCAAATGGCACAGGATCAAGCACTGATCCATTGTAGAACGACCACTTCTGAATCCTGCTTGTTACAATTTAAAATCTCATGTATAATATCTTTAGGGAGCATGTTCCAAGATAAATGGGAGCTGCGGTGGCTCAAGTGGTTAAGACGCTGAACTGCAGGCTGTGGAAGGTCGGTAGTTCAGCAGTTCAAGACCCGAGTGTGCCACATGACGGAGTGAGCTCCCGTCTCTGGCCCCAGCTCCTGCCAACCAAGCAGTTCGAAAGCAAGACATTGCAAGTAGAAAAATAGGTACCACTTCGGTGGGAAGGGAACAGCATTCCGTGCGCCTTGGCGTTTAGTCATGCCGGCCACATGACCACGGAAACGTCTTCGGACAGCTCTGGCTCTTCGGCTTGGAAACGGAGATGAGCACTGCAACCCTAGAGTCGAATTCGACTGGCTTTCGAGCAAGGGAAACCTTTACCTTTTTCCCCCCCAAGGTAAATAATGACATCTGGGCACCACCAAAAATGTCCATAGGCAAATACACTCCATTCTGGGAGCATTCTGGGAATGGAATGAGAGATCATTCAATTCCCCCAAGATAAATAATGACATCTGGGCACCACCAAAAATGTCCATAGGCAAATAGACTCCATTCTGGGAGCATTCTGGGAATGGAATGAGAGATCATTCAATTCTCAATATGCTTCTGTTACTCCCAGCAGCTGACATTCCACTCTGCGCCGTGTCATTCCAATCCCAGAGCACAGATTCTATTGCTAGGGACGGTCATTCCGCTCTGGAGGCTGTCATTCCAGCCCCAGAGTAATCTGGCTGGGCCCAGAGACCTTAATGGAAAATCCATTTTGCATTTTCTTTGCAACTTTTTTTTGGTGCTGCGGTGTATCTCAATGGAGCCCATGCAAGTCAATTGACATTCCTGGCTCCCATTATCTCCAGTGGCCCTTCGGGCATCTCCCATTGTTTCCAATGGGCAATCCCGTCATTCCTTTTAGTACATGCCTAATTTTGGTTGTCCTTTTCAGCACTTGCTCTGCAGTGGTGCCCCACAGCTTGGTGGGTTATGTGTTACGATTAATATTTCTCTGCAGAACTGGAGTTCCTTGAGTTTTTAGGACTCTATGTTTTAACTGTGGTTGGTCCCAAACCCTCCCCTCCCCACACCCTTAAAAGATGCCTGCCTAAAATGGAAAGGTGGGGGAATAGTGGGATTTGGCAGTGCAGCCTCACAGGGGGCGCCTCCACCCCCGATGGAGAGAGACCCAGCAACGGCAGCAGTTGGGGCTGCCGTGGCACAGAGCAACACCCTGTGGCCCCTACCTGTGAGGAGGACGATGGAGGCCAGGAGCAGTGGCTGGGAGGCAGAGAGGAACGCAGTCAAAGGAAGAGCCGGGGAGCCGTGCAGACTGGGCAGACATCCAAGGAGCCCACCAGTTTGCCGGATCGCGGGGTCGGCAAGATGCCTGGGCTTGGAGGAGCTTCCGCCAGGAGGAGAAGTGGGCGGAGACGAGGCTGAGCACGCTGGGAAGTTCGGCAGCCCCGCCCTCTGCTCTGTGCACTCAGCAGCAGCTCGTGCCCAGGAGGGGATGGAGAGTGAGGGAGAAGAGAGCCACGGGCTGGATTAAAGTTCTCGGTGGGCCTGTTCTGGCCGGTGGGCCGGTGGCTTGACACATCTGGTCTAGACCCACCCACACTTTTTTGGATTAATGGCTCCAGCGGTGGGAGAACCATCTGCCAAACAGAGCATTAGTTTGTGAAAATTGTTGCTCGTTTGTATTACTGTTTGACCCCGTCTGTTTCTTACGGGATTGCTTATTCCTGTTAAGGTTTAAGTTCTGTTCTCATAACCAAGTCGTTTCAAGAGGTCGGGATGGGGGAAGGAAGGCTCTTCGGGAGTTGTAGAAGCCTCCAAACTGGGGAGGGAGGGCACTCCACTCCCTGTCAGGTCAGGAAAGAGCAGTCTCCTTCCTGCTTCCTGGGACAGTGGGAAGGGAGACTCCCGAGCGTGACAGGATGTCCTCCTCGTCCTCAAACGTTCTCGTAACCAAGCTGTTTCGAGAGGTCGGGATGGGGGAAGGCTCTTCGGAAGATGTGGAAGCCTCCAAACTGGGGAGGGTGGGCACTCCACTCCCTGTCAGGTCAGGAAAGAGCAGTCTCCTTCCTGGGACAGTGGGAAGAGAGACTCCCAAGCGTGACAGGATGTCCTCCTCGTCCTCAAACCAAAGGAACCTGCAGTGTCCTGTCCTGCTTGCAACGTTAGAATATTCAGGACAGGTCCAACTTTGGCAGGCTAAGGTCAAACGGAAGGGGACTGAGAGCCAGTGTGGGTATAGCGGTTGGATTGTCAGATTGGGAGCACGGAGAGACCCGGGTTCGAATCCCTGCTCTGCCGCGGAGGCCTGCTGGGCGGCCTTGGGCCCGTTGCACACTCTCAGCCTAGCCTAAGGGAGGGGAGGAAAACCACGTAAGCCGCTCTGAGTCCCTGTTGGGGAGAGGGGCAGGGTATAAACCAAGTCAGTGAAATAAGTAAGTGAACACTGTCGCAAAGCAATGCCTAGTTAAATGGAGAGCTGTCCACCTGGTTCTCGGGATACGCTACTTGCTTCAAGACCAGAGATGGAAGCTCCACGCCACCGGGGGGGGGGGGGGGCCCTGCACAGCTCAGGTCTTTTTCTCTTTTTGTGTTTTGCAGGAGACATCAATTACCAGGAATTTGCGAAGAGGCTTTGGGGAGACATCTACTTCAGCCCAAAGACGTAAGGAGTGTCTCTCTTTGGCGGTCTCCTTGCTCTCTAGGCCTTTTCCATTGCAGCTTTTCTTAGGCCCTCATAATCCGAGCAAATGTCGCTTTGAGGATGTCAGTTACCCGCACTGAGCGGTAGGAGATTGAGAAGAAGCCAAGAGACTTCTCTCCTTGCTCTGTATGTAGGCTTTTACGTTGCTTTCTGTTAAAGTTGTACAGACTGTGAGCAGAGGTCGTGTTGAACACCCCCAGACTCCGAGGCAGAACCACTCTCCACGACCTCAGCCCCACCCCCACGTACCACAGACGTGCCCATGAACCAAGCTGTGCCCCATACAGAGGGCAGATGCACTGCAGAAGGGTGCTTATTAAGGAAATGGGGCTGGTGCCAGGTGCTGGTGGTGAGCCGAGCCAAGCCACACGGGATGGTTAAAGGGCTTCTCAACCCCAAGCTGCTGAGGATAAACCATCAAGAGAGTCATGAAGAGAGTGAATACTTCTGATTCACTTTAGTTCTGTTTTTAGGCTTCTGGTTGGTTCTACAACCCTAATCCTATTGCATTGTTTATCGAATGTCCCCCCTCTGTGTAATTCGCCTTGAATCCACGGAAGAAAGGCAGATTATAAATAATGTAAATAAACAAAATTCCCCAAAAAATACAGACAGGTGCAACTGTATACTGCCAACCACCATCGGTGGTTGTCCACCCAGGGCTCTCCATTGGTCACCTGGGGTATCTGCAGGACCCTGTATGTTTTTTCAGACTTCCCAATTTTCTAGGCCTCATGTTTGAGAGGGGGGGGGTGCTGCTCCCCACTTAGTGGAACTTGTAATCCTTGGATCGGAATTCGTGAGCATCCTGATATAGTCGGATAACCCACCTACACACAGCTTTGTGCCTTTTTTGGCTCTCTCCCCCCCCCCCAGGAGGAAGTTCACGAAGAAGGCCCCAACCAGCAGTTCCCAGCGCAGCTTTGTGGAATTCATTCTGGAGCCTCTTTACAAGATCTTGGCTCAGGTACGTCCCTTACTCCCCCTTGAGGGTCTCTCTCTCTCTGTCTCTCTCTCTCTGGGCACCTGCCGGTTGTGGATGTCAACTCCTGTTGGGAGTTGGTTTCTTCAGGAAAGAGAATGGACTGGAGTGGAGCCTGGCCCCTCTCTCCATG